CCCCCGCGCCTCCTCCGAGCGCATCCCCGGCCGCCGCCGCCGCCGCTGCCCCCGGGGCGGTGCCGGGTGGGGCGGGGTGGGGCCCCCACGGGCGGGGAGGGGCCGCGTGGGGCGGAGCTCCCCTCCCCCACCCTCTTTTTTTTGGGGTGGGGGTGCCCCGCCCTTGGGATGACATCACCGGCAGCCAATGGGCGGCTCCCCTCGCATCCGGCGTTGCCATGGGAACGCGCGGGATTTGGGGGAGGGGGGTGGACCCCAACTTGCTGCCACCCCCCCAACACGGAGTGCGCCCCAAAACCGGGGAGGGGGTGCTGGAGGGCTCAGCCCTGCGGGACTGGTGGCAGAGATGAGGGGGAGCAGAGACCCCCCCACTGGGGGTCCTGGGGTTCTCCTGCACCTCCATCCACCCCCAGATCCGAGCACCCATGGGGGCACTGCCTGCACTCCCCCCGGTCTCTGCCTCCCGAGCCACAGGTAAGCCCCCCAAATATGTGGGTACCCCCCCAGCACCCCAGTGGGGTCCCCCAGGGTGGCAGGGTCCTGGCAGAGCTGGGGGAGCCTCTCCAGGGGCTGCAGCAACAGGGGTATCTGGAGGTCCTCTGGCCCCTTCCTGGGGGGGTCTGGGGGTCCCGGGAGCCCCTGGGCAGTGGGAATCCACCCCCCACTCATCCCACGCTCCCTGAACCCCACTGGTTTTCCAGCCTCTCGTCCCAAAGGGACCCGGCTGCTGCCAGCGCTGTGTCCCCAGCCTCAGTGTCCCCAGCCTTGAGCTGTCCCCAGATCCCCACCCTGTGCTGGGTTTGCCGGGGCAGGCCCAGGCTGGGTTAATCTCCCTGTAACCCCCCAAATGCAGGACCCCCACACCCAGCCCTGACCCAGCTCATCCCCAGGAATGGGAAATCAGCAGATGGGGACTCAGCCAGGTGTCCCCTAGTCACAATGTCCCTGCCAGGGGTGACTCAAGGAGCAGGTCATGGCCACCAAGGGGGTGACGTTGGCACACACAAAACTCCTCCAGGGGTGGGAAGGGACCCCCGTGACCCCCCACTTCTGCCAAGCCACCACACCACAACCAGCACCAAACCAACTTTGTTTTGGCAAAAAATTCCCTTCCCCTCCTCAGGAAACACCAGGGAGGCACCAGGACAGGGTCAGGCAGGGACCCTCCCTCGGGCAACCTCCCCTAGGGAGCTTTTGGGGACCAGAAAAGCTTTTGGGGGATGAGTGGGCCCTGCACCCAAAGGCTCCCCTGCCCCAATGTCACCAAGCTGAAGGACCAGCAGCAGGCACAGGTGACCTCCCAAAAAACACAAAACAAAGGGGTGAGCAGGGCAGGGGTTGCCCCCAAGGTCCCCTCTCCTGCTCCCCAAGGATGGATTTGGGCAGGAGGGGCTGGACCCGGGCAGGGAATGGTGCAAATGCTCCTCATGAGGTGTCCACAAGGCACAATTCAGCAGTGACAGTTCAGGGTGACTTCGGAGGATCCATGACCCCCTGGATGTGTTGGAGGAGCTGGTTCCAGCTGGAGAACAGTGTGTGGCCACCACAGCCCCGTGTCCATCCCCCCAGCAGCTCCAGGGGACAATTCTGTGCCAAAAAGGAGGAAAACCAAGTGGAAGCGTCCCCAGGGAGACCCTCAGGAGTTCTTGGCCCCACACAGCTTATCCTGGGAGAAACAGCCTGGGGCTGACCCCACTGGAGCCTTCCATGCTCCAAGGCAAGAAAGAAATGGTCAAAAAATCTGGAAGTAGCTCCAAGACACCCTCCGGGAGCACAGCCTGTCCCAGGGAACTCACCCCAGGCCCCAGAGCAGCTCCAAGGGGAAAGGAACTGGGCCAAGGGGGGATTTATTCAGGATCTCAGTGACACATGGCATCAAGTTTCTCCTCATTTCAAGGTCAAGTGGCGAAGGAAAAGGCTGGATCACGGCCACCTCATCCAGGTTTGGGATCACTGTGTGAAACACATCTGGAGAAGGCATCAATTTTTTTTTTCTGAGGTTAGGAGCTGCCAGAGAAAGTGAGAAGAGTTTTCCCACCAGAGGGTGGAATGAGGGTGATGAGCCTGATCTCCCAAACCTCCCTGCTTGGAAAGGAAGGAGCCAGAGCAGCTACCAACCCCAAAAAGGCCTGGGATCTGCTTTGGGAAGGGACAAAGGACACACCTAAGTGCCATCCGAGCAGGCAGGGCAGGCTCTGACACAGCCACCCGTGTTTGTCACAGGCTGTCACTCGATGAGCACAGTGGCATCTCCACCACAGCGGAAGGACCAGGCTGATTCCCACAGATCCATGCACTTCAGGAAAAGGGATTTGGAGTGGGAGAACAGCAGAACTTTACCCCAGCCCCCACTGGGTCACTGTCCCAGGAGCTCCAGCTCAGGATTTGGCTCCTGACAGCTCCAGCTCCAGCCACTTGTCCCTCACAGCTCTTTGTCACCTGCCCTGCACTCCACATTCCTCCTCTGGCATTATTCCACTTCCATGTGCTGCTGTGGTTTATTCCCAAAGGAAACCCAGGGCAACTCCAGTCACCATGGCAATGA